GCACAGTCAGTGATGGACCTAATCCAAGTTATTTTTGAAAGGCTATCCTGTTGAAGATGTTGATGGCCTTTGCCATCCGTGCAGCAAATCACCAGCTTCAATGCATGAGGAATGCCTGCAGATGATGATCATCTTGTCGTTAGAATACCAGATTAGAACCAGGTGCATACTGTCTTGGGCCTGAAGAAGGTTCAGTAGATATCCTGAAGGGTTTGTGCGATTTACTAGTACGTCGGTGCATCAATAATATTTTCAGATGAGAATACACACTATTGATTCATGTTTATAACTGTTTCAAATATTATACATTTACAAGAGCAGTGGAATAACTTTATTGGCAAAAAGAGTCCTACCTACATTTTAATGATTATATCTAACATTACACTGTATCTGCCTTGTACAGTGTGTAGATGGCTGTATTTCTCTGTTTGTTAGGTGGAACCAACTTTGCTCACTGTATGTGGCTTACACTTGTGCTTGTCATACATCTGAGTGTTTGAGTGGGACGGTGAGGACTCCCTGAAAACAGCCTTAATGTCCTAATTTAAACCCTGGAGTGATGGGTGTTTAACAGTTTGAATTTGCAAACACACAGGTGCAAACACACAGGACTATTCAACTGAAATTTATGGTCTTTCACATTGGAAACGCCCGCTAATTGCAGTCGCACCCTCCTGTAAATTCTCATAGCAGCTGAACATGGTGTAGCATTGGTCTTCAGCAGCCCATGCTTGTCTTAAGAGGTGGCTAACTGGATCGGGTGGTCAGACTAGCTGGACATGTATGTCATCATATCTCGGTAGTGTAGATCAAACTTCCTGGTTTCAATCTGTTGATTGTCTGGTCCAGATTTGATTATTTACAGACTGCAGTCATATGGCAGGAATATTGCTGAGTTCAGCATAAGACAGCAAAGAAACAAACTATTAGAGTGTTTGGTGGGATGAGGTGTGATGATGTTGATACACTGTTGATGACATGATGGAATACATTATCTTCAAACTTACCGCAGCGGATCATCCGTCATGGCAGAATATGCTGTCATAACATCCTGTGTTCTCTTTTCAGTATATTTATATGTTCAATTTGTGACTAAATGATGGCAACTTAATGTTGCTTTGCTTTTGTTGTGATCAGGATCATCTGAGGTTATTGGTGATGGTGAACCATTAGGCCGCCCCATGCCCGAGCCAGCTGTTATAGAGAGAGTCCGTCCAAGCCTCGATGCCATGATACAGAGACTGCAGCTGGAGCAGGATCATCGGATTGCCCTGGAGGGAGGGGAACCCTGGCCTCACCCCCACCTGTAGGCTCACCTCACCCTTCGTGGTCCCTAGGTCCACCAGGAACAATCAGGGTGAGTCACATTGGCATGGAGCAGTATGTCGTCAGATGTGAGAGTATCACTTGTTTCTTATCAGAGCTGATATAAGACAGGGTCAGTTAGTTAATATGAAGGACATGATTACTGATAGAAATGTGTTTGAATGCCATGATGTTATTGGTTATGTGTTGGTTACGCAGGTCGTGGTTGGAATCCGCGTCGCAGTGGGGAGACGGAGGGAGGAGTGAGGCAGTCTCTGGCAATGTCTCACACCCAGAGCCACAAAGAGTGATATAGCAGCCTTGAAGAGAAGAGTTGTCGCCGAAAGCCACTCAGATCCAGAAGTCAAGGTGGTAAGGACTTGCACATGTTGAACTTTCCATGTTGTCCTATCATTCTAGTCCTTTTAGCATTCAGTCAAGTATTTAACTAAATGGCATTCCTGTTTTATAGAGGGTATTGCTTCATGTTTCGACAAATTTTGCAGGCATGTGGTTACCAGGTTGAGTAGTTATTAGGTGTTCAGACAAGCGTGTATGATACCAGGTGTTAATACCAGGTGTTGAGACAAGTATGTGGTGATACCAGGTGCTGATACCGTTGGGTGCTGAGACAAGTATGTGCTGGTGATACCAGGTGTTCAGTCAGTATGTGTGGTAATAATTATCGGGTGTTGGTAATACCCAGGTGCAAGCATATGTTGGTGATACCAGGTGCTTGCGACAAGTATGCGTTGGTGATACCAGGTGCTGAGACAAGCATGTGCTGGTAATACCAGGTGTCCAGGCACAGATGCTGCTGATACCAGGTGAGACCAGACAACCAGGTGTATGTGCTGAGTAATACCAGGTGTTGAGACAAGTATGTGTTGGTAATACCAGGTGTTGAGACAAGTATGTGTTGGTGATACCAGGTGTTGAGACAAGTATGTGTTGGTGATACCAGGTGTTGAGTCAAGTATATGTTGTTGATACCAGGTGAGACACCAGATACCAGGTGTTCAAGTACGTGTTGGTGATAGTGTTTATGGACAAGCATGTGTTGCGATACCACAGGTGTTATACGGGACGTGCATGCGCAGCGATAACCAGGTCGTTCACAAGTATGTGTTGGTGATACCAGGTGTTGAGACAAGTATGTGTTGGTGATACCAGGTGAATTGTTGGAGACAAGTATCAGCAAAGTTGGTGATACCAGGTGTTGAGACAAGTATGTGTTGGTGTTGAGACAAGTATGTTGGTGATACCAGGTGTTCAGACAAGTATGTGTTGGTGATTCCCGGTGTTGAGACAAGTACCAGGTGATACCCAGGTGCCGAGACAAGCATGTGTTGGTGATACTCCAGGTGTTCAGTCAAGTATGTGTTGGTAATACCAGGTGTTGAGACAAGTATGTGTTGGTGATACCAGGTGTTGAGACAAGTATGTGTTGGTGATACCAGGTGTTCAGTCAAGTATGTGTTGGTGATACCAGGTGTTGAGACAAGTATGTGTTGGTGATACCAGGTGTTGAGACAAGTATGTGTTGGTGATACCAGGTGTTGAGTCAAGTATGTGTTGGTGATACCAGGTGTTGAGACAAGTATGTGTTGGTGATACCAGGTGTTCAGTTCAGCCAGTATGTGTTGGTGTTCAGTCAATTGGGTATGTGTTGGTGATACCAGGCGTTCAGCCTGGCATAAGGCAGGATAGTTCAGACAAGCATGTGTTGGTGATACCAGGTGTTCAGTCAAGTATGTTGGTGATACCAGGTGTCTGAGACAAGTATGTGTTGTGATACCAGGTGTTCAGACAAGTGTGTTGGTGATACCTGGGTGTTCAGTCAAGTATGTGTTGGTGATACCAGGTGTTCCAGCCCGCGCATGTTGGTGTTCAGGTGTTGAGACAAGTATGTGTTTGGGTGAGACAAGTATATGTTGGTGATACCAGGTGTTCAGTCAAGTATGTGCCGGTGTTCCAGTGCGTTCAAGTATGTGCTACGTTGGTGTTCTTGGGTGCTGGAGACAAGCATGTGTTGGTGATGATGTTCGGTCCAGGTGTTCTGGGTGGACAAGCATGTGTTGGTGTTCCAGGGTGTTGAGACAAGTATGTGTTGGTGATACCAGGTGTTCAGCCTCATGTGTCCAGTTTGCGTTGGTGTTGTTGGGTGATACCAGGTGGACAGTCCAGTTTGTAAGTATGTGTTGGTGATACCAGGTGTTGAGACAAGTATGTGTTGGTGATACCAGGTGTTCAGTCAAGTATGATACCGTTGAGATACCAGGTGTTGAGATACCCAGGTGTTCAGTCAAGTGTGTGTTGCGATACCAGGTGTTCAGTCAAGTATGTGTTGGTGATGACCAGGTGTGACGCTGAGACAAGTATGTGCGCTGGTGATACCGGGTTGTTCAGACAAGTATGTGTTGGTGATACCGGGTGTTCAGTCAAGTATGTGCTTGGTGATACAAGGTGTTCAGTCATATGTGCTGGTGTTACTGGGTGTTCAGTCATATGTGCTGTTGGTGATACCAGGTGTTCAGTCAAGTATGTGTTGGTGATACCAGGTGTTCAGTCAAGTATGTGGTGATTACCCAGGTGTTGAGACAAGTATGTGCTGGTGATACCAGGTAGGTGCTGGTGATAAGTAGCAGTGTTGGTGATGCCGTGATATTGTTCAGTCAAAGCTATGATAATGTGCGTTTGGTGATACCAGGTGTTCAGTCAAGTATGTTACCAGGTAAGACAAGCATGTGTTGGTGATACCAGGCGTTCAGTCAAGTATGTACAGATACCAGGTGTTCAGACAAGTATGTGTTGGTGATGCTGCAGCGTTCCAGGCTTGTGTGTATCAGGGTGTTCCTAGGTGTTGAGGCAAGTTAAACTTTGACATTACATGTTTCTTTAGACCCGATGGAGTAGAGAGACTCTGCTGATGAAGAGTTTAAGAAATTTGTCATGAGAGGAAAAAGGATCCAAAGCTGTACAATCTTCCAAACAAGGCTCATAATTGAAGCTACTCCATCTTGATGCCAATACCTAAGCATCAGCATTTGAACTTGTGAGTGACTTGGAAACAGCCAGATCTTGTGTTAATGAGATACATGTTTACTCTGCGACAAACGCAGCTGTACAGGTGACAACGCCGGAGAATGAGAAACAGCCAGAAGATTGGTGAGCATTAATGGAAGAGGAAGAGGGAGATTAGGACACTGCCCCCTTGAACTTGTCTCTCTCCATCATTTTTATCGAATCTTTTGCATAATGGCTGTTATCTTGCCAAAGGATGGAATATTGTTTTAAGTGATGGATAAAGGATTGATACTTTGTTTCAGGATGAAGAAGGTAACAGCTCAGGATCTGACTTCATGCATGAAAGGTAGTAGTAATATTTCACTTTGGTTTGCAAGTCAGATGGAAATATGTTTTAATAGGTTTATTACAGTCATGCTGACATTCATTGTACAGATGTGTGTCAGTGGAGGTTAGAAGAGTTATCTCCCCTTGTTCTAACCGGGAAAATGACATCTTGGTGTCACCTGTGTTATTTAAATGTTTATGTGAAGTGAAACAATATGGAATCTCTGATACACTTGTGTCATTTTTATGGAAGTATTCAGTGCAGCACCAATATGGTAGATGTGCATTGAGCGTATCTATGTGATTAAAGGAACATTAACAATGATGTTGGTTGCTTACAGTGACTCTGATGAGTATTCCGATTGGATGGGGGATACAGGCAGTAATCTGCAACCTCCAAAGCGTACGTCACAGCGGCAGAGAAAACGGAAACGCTTCACATCCACAGAAGATGATCCAGATGATGATGATGAAGATGACGATGATGATGACAATGATAAAGACAATGACCAGGACAGCGGGCAGTAATGTGGAGAGGAAGCCAAAGAAAACAAAACCTCCACCAAAGAAAAAGAAGAAGAAAGTTGTCAAGGTGAATTCCTTTGAGAGATACTTGTGGTCTTCAGCATCACAAGTTCCCGTGGGAACCAATGATGATTGTATGGTGGGAGAATTGTGTGTTATCTGTCTAATACCTTGTTTAGTAAAACAGCACAATGTTGGACTGTACCTGAAAAATGTTGATTATATCTTTTACAATGCACAATACTGGAACATATGCTTTACATATTACATTATTTTTCCTTATCCTGACTCATGCTAAATGCTTGTCTCCTTCTCCTTGCGAATGAAATCCCTTGAAGTTCCCTTCTAAAAAGCAGACGTACAATCATCACTCACCCACGAGTTGCCTCCCTTGCCTCATTGGCGCTCTTTTGGTCACATGACCAGCCATGTTTTGTCATCTCTCCTTTTTCGCCCTTGAGGACGGTTGTGAGAGCACCTGGGTCCCTATACGGCACAGGACAGAAGACCTTCAATCAATGCAGACATCGGGTACCAGAGATAGCAGCAGCGTCAACTCTTCACAAGTGCAGCGTGCTTTAGAAGACGCCTCGTCGTTGTTAGAAGCATCATCAACTCTGCAGCAGTCTCTTCAGACATCGCAGAACTTCAACCCGGGGGCTGTTTATGCAACAGTTTACAGACCAGATGATGTCGATGATGGAACGTCACTTCGCGCAGGAGGAATCAGCTACGGAGACCACTACTACGACTACAAGGCTGCGCGAAGGTTCAGCAGCCTCTCCAACGCACCTGGATGAAGAGGAAAGCCTGCGCGAAGGCCCACACACCTGACGATCTTCAACGTCTGGAGCTAGAAGTCTGGACAATGCTACCAACATCAGCTCAGCCTTAGACGTCCCTGAAGGAGCCTGTAAGATTCTCCACACAGAAGCAGATTGAAGCACTCTCCAGACGCCTACAGACGCCGCAGATATGGATCGTCATCACCGTCGGACTTAGACTCACATCCGGAACCTGCACGCCGGCACTCCACATCTTACAGAGGGGGACATTACATCAATCAGTCTTCATGAAGGCTTAGAGAGATATCTCAAGACTCCAGGAGGAATACACGGTCACACCGGGACCGTTCACCTGCATGCAGCTCTACATACAGATCTACATACAGAGACTCACGTCATTATGATCTTCAGATAGAGAAATGTCCAACTTCACCGTCTGAAGTTAGAAGTCTGGAGAACTGTACTAACGTCAGCTCAGCATAGCAGACCCCTCTGTTGACAGTCGCCCTGCGAAAAGGAATATTAGCTATGCAATCTCTCTCGGATGAAGGCCTGCACGAACGGTTACGATCGCGAAGATCTTAACCGTCAGAAGTATCAGCAGTTAGAAGCCTGGAGGATTCAACAAACGCCAGCTTAGCATTAGCAGTCCACGATGGAGCCTCCAAGCAGTTTCAGCGTCTCAGCAGGAAGGATTCTAACACAGAAGTAGATCCAGTCGTTCTCCAGGTTTCTACAGACTGCGCACATACGGATCTTCCAACTTAGACCTTCTTCAACCTGCGCACAGGCACTCACGGGGAGGATTATAATCAGAGTCAGCATGTCCCGCCATTCAACGATAGCAGATTTACCCTTCATCATACTGAGCCCTTCATGATAACATCAGGGTTTGAGATTACAAGATCATCAGTGAATCCCGTAATAGATCTTCAAGATGGAAGATAAGAAGATAACACAACTGGACACTACAACTAGATGTTGGCTATGTTGGATCAACGTGTGGCTGAAAGAAGAGACGCACACCTGAAGTAACGATGTCAGATAACAGCCTATGAATGAAACACTGAAGATGAATTTTCATCACATGAGCTTACAAGATATCAAGGGGACAGTTAACAGCATTGTCGCAGTTCCTCAGCCGCAGACATCGGTTACGGTAAACTTTACAGAACATCTGTATGAGATGACGACTGCAGTAAAGATTATAAAGTTGAAGAATACAGTCACAACAGACAGGGAACAGTCTGCTTACATCGGTACTATGCGGCGAAGTTTTCGTGCGCTTCCACTCAGTCATCTAGACACGTGTTCACTCGTGTAACACCGGCACAAGCCGAACAGAGAGTTACGGACAAGGCCGAGTGTTGACGAAGAAATCAACGACTGCACAAGATTCTACGAGGATCATTTACCTGCAACACCGGTGACGTCACATCTGTAATCTGATTGGTCCATGAGAGACAACGCCCTTCGCAGTACTCGGTCATAGTCACGTGCCAGGAAGTCGTCTACAGTTGTAAACAACTCTTTCAATGTGGGGAAGGCTCCATTTACAGTCCAGTTAGCAGGTTACCGCGTGGTTCCACTATCTTCACAGGTCATAGAGGACTTCCCCTGTCAGCAGATTTAATATTGGTTATCTGGGGACTTGCAGCGGTTTCTGCTCGATGCAGCCGGTCGCACTATAAATAGACCTCACATCGATGGCAGTCCCAGTACATCATAGATTTTGCTGATCTACAGACGACGTATTATGCATCCTCGCTGCACATTGTTCGGATTCTGGTGACAACATCTTCATTACATATTACCGGAAGATTGATGAGAAAAGCTTCAAGCCATGATTCCAGAATCTATTGTAGATCCACGTACCTACTACATAGGACATGATTGCAGTAGATGGCTAGTAATCTCCTAATCGGAGTTGGAACCAAAACAGGATCTTCAGTTCCTGGGAATATGGCTCATCACACCACATAATCACACGGTCGTCCCAGAGGCTCGTTGGGTCAAGATACAACATGGTATCTCAAGCAATGCTCTCTCCGTTGACACTACGTGCTTGGCAAAGCATGCTTGGTCTACTCACCTCAGCTCAAGACATGACTCGCAGAGGGAGATTAGAGAGCTCACCACTACAATATTTGTGAACTTCATCTCGACAGTTTGGATCCACTGATACTACAGGACAGCCTGAAACCATAACTCCTATGGTGGACTCAGAATTGAATGTTTGCGGAGGAACCTTTTTGTCAGAGCTGGTTTCCAACACTCAGCTCTACGTGGATGCATCACTACAAGGATGGGGTGCTCACCTCACAACGGCGGCAGCAGGAAAGTGGTCGAAGTCAGGATCAAATTCTGCACATTGTTGGAGATGAAAGCAGTGATCAACGCTTTACAACACTGTTCCAGCATACTAAGGAATGCAAGGCTCACGGTCCACACGGACAACTCCACAGTAGCGTTCTACATCAACAAACAAGGATCAACAAGGTCGACAAGTCTGCTAAAACTCAGCTTTCTCCTGTTCGGCATCGTTTAATTTTAATTTGAACATCTACATGAAGGCATGTCACATTCCAGGAGCAAAGAATGTCATAGCAGACGCCCTATCTCGTCCACTACAACCATCCCTGACGGAATGGATGTTACATCCAGAAGTGTTCCAGTTCATCATACAGACAGTAGGATCTCCGCTGATAGACCTGTTTGCAACAAAGTTCAACGAACAACTACCAACATTCGTCTCACCGATTCCGGATCCTGAGGCATGGGCAACAGATGCTTTAAGTATCTCATGGGAAGGACTAAACGCTCACGTGTTTCCACCTCCAGCACTATTACAACAAGTAATACAGAAAATCAAGCAGACGACAACGTTGCAACTGATTTGGGTCGTGCCCTATTGACCAGCGAGGGTATGGTTTCCCGTCCTCATACAAGAACTCGGAAGTCCAACCCTGAAACTACCAGAGTGGTTGAACCTGCGACGTCCATCCACACACCAAGCAAGCTCACGGGAATCTGGCATTGTTCCAACTACACATGTGGAACGTATCAAAGTTTGCCTGAGGACTAGAGGGTTCTCCGCCTGAGCAGCAAAAGCAGTGACACTAGCTCTACGCAGATCCACAAGTTGCAGAGATTTTAACAGTATGCAACAAGGAAAGGCTTTACAGCGGTAAAGGCAACCCATCCTCAAGTGGCGGAATACCTGTGTCATTTGCGACAGACGAGACACTTAAAAGGTTCAACACTCTCAATGTACCTGGCTGCTCTTAGCACAGTTATCACCATGAAGACGGGTGTCAAGCTGACCAAAGTACCAGAGATACTGGCACTTCTACGCTCATTCAAATTGGAAGACCAACAAAAGAAATTCAAGGCTCCTGCCTGGGATCTCAACATAGTTCTATAACATCTCACCAGTGACGCCTACGAGCCTCTAGAACGGACATCCTTTGAACTACTGACACAGAAAACGCTGTTCCTGATCACCATAGCAACAGCAGCACGGATGTCAGAAATACATGCTCTGGACTTTGAACGAACACGATTTGAAGCAAGACATCGTGACATCGTACATCTAGGACTGAGATGGGACTTTATTGCCAAGAACCAACTGCCCGGCCAGCCTGACAGACAGTTCCACATCCCTGCACTATCTACAGTCCTTGGGCCACAGGATACACAGGAATTATCCTTATGCCCTGTCAGAGCATTGAAAGTCTACCTACAAAGGACAAAAACAAGGAGACGAAAATTCAAGCTCCTATTCTTCCCCTTATCCACTGAGATGCCCACGAAAGTCTCACGGACAACGATATCGATATAGATGAGAGCCGTTATACTAAGCCGCCTACATAGCAGCAGGACTTGAGCCTCCACGAGCCTCCAATCCCCACGAAATCAGAGCCCTGGCTTCTACACTTGCTCTGCATGGAAACTGCACGATTACAACGATAATGGAGGGCTGCTTTTGGAGATCATACGGTGCCAACCACTACCTCAGAGACATTGCCACCGAAGACGTCTCAGGCATTCACCAGTTTGGGCCACTTGGTGTAGCACAACAACTAACGGTTCCACAAAGGCGCTGAGAAAAATCTCACCCTTTTCATCACGTGACCTGTGAAAACCAAGGCACTGGAGAGCAAATGGTTAAAGTCCATGCACACGTCTAGCACAGACTAGCATGAGTGATGGACCCTGTACTTGTATAGGACATACTCGTACGTGAAGAAGGGTCGCATCTCCACTTGATGCGCGCATCAAGAGATGGAGTTGCAATAGATAACGAATGGAACATATGTATATCTAAAATCCACACGAAAATGTCAGGAGAAGTTTCGGAAGAAATCTGACAAGTTGTGGTTCCCCCGAGACTCATCAGAGGAAGTTGAAAGAACAGAATCATCAGCAGTGCCGTCATAAGTTCCCATGGGGGGTAATACAGGACGTAAATCAGCAGCCAGTGAATCCAGAAGTGGCCTGACCCACCACTGATTCCAACGGATTCTGCAAGCATTTAGCATGAGTCAGGATAAGGAAAAATATGTAATTTTCTGACTAAAATTGATATTTTATACTTATCCTGACTTATGAGGTTAGCCCTCCAACCTCCCCCCCTCTCATGACACTCTGCATTTCCCTGTAAATCCGGGTGTCGGGCATACATACGGAGAGAGTGACAAAACATGGCTGGTCATGTGACCAAAAGGGCGCCAATGAGGCATGGGAGGCAACTCGAGGGTGAGTGATGATTGCACATCCGCTTTTTAGAAGGGAACTTCAAGGGATTTCAAGTGTTCCACTATCATTCGCAAGGAGAAGGAGACAAGCATTTAGCATGAGTCAGGATAAGTATAAAATATCAATTTTAGTCAGAAAATTACATTCTTGTCACAGTGAGAAGATTAGGCCTCGTTACTTCAAACATGGGCTAATTAGCCATCATTAAGTTATCTGTGGATCATCGGCACATTTATGTCTGTATAGCGGTCTTTCTGTGAATGTAGGGTCAGAATCTTGGACACCAACGACAGCAGTATTTCAAGGGTTGCTGTTGTGTAATAATTGTGCTTCATTTTCATGTATGTATCAGCATGCTGTAAACACAATAAAATATAGTAGTTGAGAATAAAACACATTGACAGACCCTGCATATGACTGCTTGATCTGTCCCCAGCACCAACAACCCAAGATGCCACCAGGTGTTACAGAACTCTCTGAAGCATTCCGACCACCAGAATGGCTTACTGATACCATTCCACGTAAGGCACCATTTGTCCCTCAGATGGGAGATGAGGTGATGTACTTCCGCCAAGGCCATGAGCTCTACCTGAATGCAGTGGTCAAGCACAAAGTGTATGAAGTGAATCCCAACAACAACCAGCCCTGGCACAAGAATCCAAAACTCAGGGTATGTCCAGCTCTAGACAACATCTCAAACAACTGACCCGTGAAGATCCGAGTAGGTCATCAGCAACTCATGCTTGGCACAAAAGGCGACTATGCTTGTCGTAAGAGGCGACTAACGGGATCAGGTGGTCAGGCTCGCTGACTTGGTTGATCGATGCTCATGTTGTTGATCACTGGATTGTCTGGTCCAGACTCGATTATTTACAGACCGCCACCATATAGCTGGAATATTACTGAGTGCGGCGTAAAACTAAACTCACTCACTCGCTCAACAACTCACTCACTCACTCAAACAACTGCTCTCTGTAAAGGGTATATTATAGCAGAATTATACTTGCATATTGCTTCTGTCCAAACCAGGATGCTAAAACTACCTGGACCATTTGTACATTATAGTAACATGGTTTGTACAGTGTCCATGTTGACATGTGGATCACTAATCATGTGACTCCACATTCACCTGATAGTGGTACAGTCGTGTATAGAATGTATTTGCATAGCTGATTGCGAATTGAATTTGATACAGATTCCAGTAATATCGAGTGAAGCTGTTTTAAAAACTAGTCTCTTTGTGAATACACCCAACAAAATCAGTCTGTGAGTCAAAACACGCCTTTACCAAGTATCAGAAGTCTTGTTCGGAGACATTAAGACCTGATGATCTCCTCAGGAACAAGAGCTGGTGAAGATTGTTGGCATCAAGTATGAAATCCGCCCTCCGAGACTCTGCTGCCTCAAGCTTGCGTTCATTGACCATGAGACCGGGAAGCTGACAGGAGGAACGTTCTCCATCAAGTGAGTGCAGCTGATGTTATTGTCCAGTCCTATTCTGTCAACACTAGTGGCATGATGTTAGATTATACTTCATTCACTCTCTTTTCTGCTAGGTCAGTGCAGGAGACAAAGAACTTGCTTCACAATGTCTTGGGGTGGTGGGGTAGCTACTACTCCCCATCTACAGTCTAATGATCTGGTCCTTAATAGCACTGAGTATGAAACAGGGCGGTGGGGTAACCTAGTGGTTAAAGCGTTGGCTTGTCACGCCGAAGGCCCGGGTTCGAATCCCCACATGGGTACATTGTGTGAAGCCCATTTCTGGTGTCCCCCGCCGTGATGTAGCTGGAATATTGCTAAAAGCGGCGTAAAACAGCAGTCAGTCAGAGTATGAAACAACAGTCTTGTAACACATCTTGATTACTCAGTTACAACTTCAGTCGACTCGCATTGAATGAGTCAACAAGCATGGGATGAATACTGTAGTGTAACAATGAGGATGTTTTACTTTTGATGGTGAACATGTGCCAACATTGCCTAAATGGGATGATTTGTTGGTATTGAGCCTTCAACATTGATTGTACAAACCATCCTGCAGGTACCACGACATGCCTGATGTCATTGACTTCCTGGTGCTCAAACAGACCTACAACATTGCCATGCAGAGGAAATGGAAACCCAGTAAGTCTTCATCACAGCATGCTACCCATGAAGATCCGGGTCAGAATTGGTCTTGAGCAACCCATGCTTGTTGTAAAAGGCGACTAACGGGATCGGGTGATCAGACTCTCCGACTTGGTTGACACATGTCATCGTATCCCGATTGGATAGAACGATGCTCATGATGTTGATCACTGGATTGTCTGGTCCAGACTTGATTATTTACAGATTGCCACCATATAGTTGGAATGTTGCTGAGTGAGGCGTAAAACTAAACTCGCTCATCACAGCAGATGACGTGGGACCATGGTGCTGTATGTCAGCTCCATGAAACAGGCCAGTTATATATGGAATCATATCTTAATTGGGTCAATTTCCCTTTAATATCTGTTCAGCAAAATGTCCACACAATTTTTAGGAAACCTTTAATACGTTGTGAAAATTTGTTACAGCATCATATTCATCTGGTTACACAACTTGCTGCAATGGTTATTGCTTGTTTATCATGTAGTGCATAGTTTCAATGTCTAAAGTTGTGTGTAGATGACCGGTTCCGTGCTATGATAGATGACCACTGGTGGATGGGCACAATCCAATCCCAGGAACCCTTCCAGGCAGAGTTCACAGACAGCATGTACCAGTGCTTCAACGTCCAGTAAGTACAGTATTATACAGCATACACAAGGGTAGTAATCCCTTTGTCATATGATTTCATTCTTAAGATAATTGACTGTAAAGGCATATTTTCACTTGGTGAAGTAGGTTTAGAAATACAGTCTTTGAGTGAACTATAAAGATTTTCAGCCATATTTGTCCACAGAAACAGAACAGGACATTGCGAGACCCACTCTAAGCATATTGGGATGCTAGTCCATTGTCTATTGAGAAAGAAGGAATTGCCTCAATGTATGGAGCTTGAAAATAGAACACATCATTCACATACAGTTAGTTGTGCTGAGTGTATGACATAGATAGCCATTGTGTCAACTCATGTTTAGACTCTACCATCGTCTTAAAATTATAACCGTATCAGTTTTGGAAGCTGACATGTGAAACTAAAATTATAACAGTTTATAGGACGATTTAGACTCATGCACATGGTTACAGAGTAATAAAGTACAATGTTCCATCCTTCTAGCTGGGACAATGGAGAACATGAGAAGCTGAGTCCGTGGGATCTGGAGCTGATTGATGAGGAAAGTAAGTAACAACAAGTACATCAATTCGTACCAGACACATCATTGATATCAATGTGTGTTTCAAGGCCTTGCTATGGTATCCTTGTAAATACTTACCCTGACTCATACTATGTCTCTCTCTCTCTCTCTCTCTCTCTCTCTCTCCTTTAGCTCGAGGCCGCCTCCGTGGCGTAGTGGTTATAGCGTCCGCCCGGAGAGCGGAAGGTCGCAGGTTCGATCCCCGACCGCGTCATACCAAAAGACGTTAAAATATGGTACATGTTGGTCCCTGCCTTGCGCTCGGCATTCATGGGTACAACAAGGACTGGTTGGCTCGGAGTCAGTATAATGTGTCTGAGTGGGGTATTCATGCTTCACTGTGGCATGGTATCTCAGTGGGCTAGCACTATAAAACCAGCTTAAGTCTGGGCTAGTGCAAGCGGCCGCAGATACACATACGCATGCACGTCGTCATATGAGCGAAATATTCTCAAGCACGACGTTAAGCCCAATTTCACCTCACCTCACCTCTTTTAGCTCGAGGGGCGTGGGGTAGCCTAGTGGTTAAAGCGTTTGCTCGTCACTCCGAGGGCCCAGTTTCTATTCCCCACATGGATACAATGTTTGAAGCCCATTTCTGGTGTCCCCCGCCATGATATTGCTGGAACATTGCTAGAAGTGTCGTAAAACATAACTTACTCACTCACTTTAGCTCGAGACGTGGTGGAAACTCTCTGTGTTATGTTCCCCAAGAACAGTAAAACCAACTCACCCAATCTGACCCCCTTCACTGTGCTTGGCTCCGGCTCTGGCTCCGGCTCCCCTTGTGACTCCTTATTGTCTCCCAACGAGATGGTTGGGGAAATTGTCCCTGTGTGTTTAATCCATCCTATCAGAATTATAAAGTTTTTGAATAAATTTAGGCTTGGATTAGCGCCCTTTATGTATTTTATCTACCAATGATTTTTCAAATTGGCGTTGAATTAAGTTCATGTCCAGTTAAGTCCGAATCTATATCTTTTCATGTAAAACTGTGTTGTATGTAGACTAGAGTATCAGACCAGAACCCACACCCTATCTGTCGGAGTGATAATCACATTCCATGTAAGTCTTACAAATCCACAAACTCTTCATTATTTACATCTACAGACGGAGTAAAGAACACAGTATGCCTCAGGATAAGAAAAAGTAGGTATTATTATTTTATACGTATCCTGACTCATACGCTAAAGTACCATCCCAACCCTCCCCATTCAGCACTAACTTTTTAACTATTTGGATTTTACTAAATAAAGAGAGTCATTGGCTCACAGGGAGCTGGTGCACATGCTCAGTTTTGGGGGGTGATTGGGTGAAGTACGGTGTTTGAGTGAACTGCCCTATTTGTCTCACAGTGCAAAATTAGTTTCAGCCCTGTTTGTTTTTACTGTTCTTCTGGGACACAGCACAGAGCATTTCCACCATGTCTCTGGCCAAAGCTAAGGATTTTATCTTGAAAAATTGCATAATTTAAAAATTATATTATAGTGAACATTTGAGGGTAAGTTATAATGGTCTGTAAAATACAAGTCCATACACTTGTGTGTTGTAGGTGTACCAGGAGACGTTGGTGGGGGAGTGATGGTTGAGAAGGAGGAGTTGAAGAAGCTGCTGTATAACCCCGGGGCCAATGAGTGGCCTTCATGTGGCCGGGATGAGGAGTGTGACAGGATCGTTCATGGGCTGGAGGAGGTGATGCAGCATTCAATGGCTGAGCCCTTCAATGCACCAGTTGACCTGAATGCCTTTCCACTGTATGCCCATGTAATTGAATACCCTGTAGACCTGAGCACCATCAAGGCCAGACTGGAGAACAGGTTCTATAGGTGAGTTACATAGAGAGTCCAGTTCAGGCAGGATTACTGCTAAAGTGAGTCATTGGGAATCCAGACAGGATTACTGCTACAGGTGAGTCGTTGGGAGTCCATGTGTGGGATTACTGCTACAGGTGAGTTATTAGGAGTCCATGTAGTATTACTGATACAGGTGAGTCGTTTGGGGTCCAGGTAGGATTACTGCTAAAGGTGAGTCGTTGGGAGTCCATGTAGGATTACTGCTACAGGTGAGTCATTGGGAGTCCATGTAGGATTACTGCTAAAGGTGAGTCGTTGGGAGTCCAGGTAGGATTACTGCTACAGGTGAGTCATTGGGAGTCCAGGTGTGGGATTACTGCTACAGGTGAGTCGTTGGGTGTCCAGGTAGGATTACTGCTACAGGTGAGTCATTGGGAGCCCATGTAGGATTACTGCTACAGGTGAGTTGTTGGGAGTCCAGGTAGGATTACTGCTACAGGTGAGTTGTTGGGAGTCCAGGTAGGATTATTGCTACAGGTGAGTTGTTGGGAGCCCATGTAGGATTACTGCTACAGGTGAGTCGTTGGGAGTCCAGGTAGGATTATTGCTACAGGTGAGTTGTTGGGAGTCCAGGTAGGATTACTGCTACAGGTGATTCGTTGGGAGTCCAGGTAGTATTACAGGTACAGGTGAGTCATTGGGAGTCCAGGTAGTACTACTGCTACAGGTGAGTCATTGGGAGTCCAGGCAGGATTATAGCTACAGGTGAGTCAATGCGAGTCCAATCAGTATTACTGCTACCGGTGAGTCAAGATCAGACTGGAAAACAGGTTCTACAGGTGAGTTACATAGAGATTCCAGTAGAGGTAGTATAATTGCTACAGGTGAGTCACATAGTCACTTCAGTACTGGCAGTTTAAGATTCTTTTTCAGAAGAAGTCCTCCTTGGGGTACATATAAGCATTAAAATGTCCATTTTAAATCCTACGACAGTTGTAACTATATTTTTAATAAAATATTTACAAAACAAAAAACTTGTTTTGTCTTGTGAGACCACCCCTACAGGGCCCCACCGGACCAACACAGCCAAGAGCAGGTAACTCTCGCCGTCTACCTCGTACCTCACTTTTCATGCTGTCGTTCTGTTGAATAGACGTGCGTGGTGTTTGTTTGGAGTTTGCTCTCCTACCGATACGATGAGTGTAAAAGAGTCTCAATCTGTATGTATGGTTCCTTTCTCTACGCACGGGCGTTAGATGGACGTCATATGTGGATATTTTCATTCATCTTTTGTTGTAACTTTGCCGTGGGTTCTCTGTTTTCCAGCCATGTGGCAGGCAAAATGGCGGACCGCGCGATCGCGGTTTCCTTGCTATATGTTATTGGTAGCTTGTAGTAGGGAGTTCATATATTATGTTTGCATATTATATGGTAGGCTTGCCTAAATTCTCTTTCTTTTCAGCGAATTTGTGGTAAGTCGTTGAGTAATTTTGATAGTGTTCGTTTCGTATCACTCAACTTTACTCTATCACTAGTACACGCGAGGGGTGGCTAGCCTTTTTCTGCTTTGCATTGTATGTTTAGTATTTAAATGGCTGTAGCTTGTAGCATTTATATATCGCCCGTGCGGATTATTCTTGCTATTACTTGTGTTTATGTGTTTGCTGCTTCACAGTTCCTGCTAGTAACACTGGCGTGGTTCTGTTTGTTGCAGTTTAAGCCCTGTGCGTTGTGCCATGCACACTACCGCCACAGGATGGTTATAAAGTGTGCCTCCGGTGTTTAGCCGAGGACGCTCACGACGATCAAGGATGCTCATAATAAACGCCCTTGCGTCAATATTCCTGTTACATTATGTTGTATTATGATACATATTTCATACGTTTACACGCAACGTGGCTCATAGGACGAGGTTGTGGTTTTTGTCTGGGTTTCTGCGCCTCACGCGCATTCTTTCCGACACGCAGATTTTATGTTTTTCACTAATCTGCTTCAGGCGGGGGATAATATTTGATAAAAGGTTTCTAAGGAAATCCCTTTATCGTTTCCCCCGCAAACAATGTTGCTGACTTAAATATGACTTCACTATTGCAGCAACATATTCTTCAACATAATGTCAATTCGATAATTGATAGCGCGATGTCCGGGCTCCGTAAGGAGCTTGGCTCGCAAAGTGTTGATCTCGAAGGTAAGTTCACCAGGTGTCGTCTGTGGTGAAATTCCCGCCCCGATTGACACGGTGCTGTCTGGGTTCCGCAAGGAGCTCAGCACGCCTGTCGTCGGGGGTGGATCGGACGCATCTGTCTTCGCCTGGTGCCCTGACTGGCGGTCGCCTAGGCGCAGACCAGCTCGGGGACACCTCGGCGCCTTCGGCACCTTGTGGCGACCTAGGTTCGGGCTCAGGTTCGTCACGGGCGCCTGGCGCCGGCGATGCAGGTTTCGCCCTGCAGGTTTTGCCCTGGTGCCCTGACTGGCGGTCGCCTAGGCGCCGACCAGCTCGGGGACACCTCGGCGCCACGTGGTCAGTCGGGGTTGCCCGGGAAACCTGTATATCGGCAGGTTCCTCTCGGCGCCCCGGTCTGGGTTCCACTGAGCTGCCGATCACCTCGGCGCTCCTAGGTCTACCTGTGTCCACCAGGGGCAACCTGCATTGCCAGGCTACTCCCTTGTGTCTCGGGACTGCAGATCGGACTAGCACCGACCTGGGTTTCGCCCCGATGCGGAGCAGATCCCCGGCGCTGTTAGCTCAGGTCTCGCCTGATGTCTATCGATGCCCTGGCCAAGAGGCCGTTGAGTGTGACGAGCTGCCGATCACCTCGACGCGCCGAGGTCTACCCGTGCCTGTACACCAGGGGAGCCCTGCATTGTCAGGCCACTCCCATGTGTTGGGGATCGGGGTTCGAACTCGAACCGCCGACCCGAGCACTTACGATACATACATGTGTATGTATGGGTATTTATATAGCTATAGGCTATGTTTGACTATACGCCAGTGCGCTTTTGGAGAGTACTTGGGGAAACCTGATTTATCAGGCTACTCCTCGTGTCTCTGGATCGGGTTCGGTCCAGAACAGCTGAGCTTCGCTCTGCGGATTCTCTGAACCCGTGGGTAGCCGACCCAGGCTTCGCACTGGTAGGGCGCAGATTCCCGACTCGGTAGTTCAGGTCTCGGCGCCGTAGTTCAGGTCTCGCCTGATGTCTATCGACGATTGACCTAGATGCCATCGAAGTGTGCCGGGTGTGACTGTCACCGCCGCCCGAGGTCTGTCTGAGTGCTTGTGAAACCTTGATTGTCAGGCTTCTCACATGTGCCTCGAATCGGGTTCAGGCTCGCAGACAGTGGACAAGTCGATTTGAGCTCGCTCATTTCGCTACTTTGAACTTACCACTAAGTAGGTTCGTCCCTGAGGGCAAGTGCGAGATAGAATCGCGGCTGTGTTGCCTCAGGTGTTGTCCATGTCGACTACCCGAACCGCTGGAGTTCGCCTCCGAGGGAAGCCTGCTTCCAGCACGGCATCCGGGACAAGGCCTCACACTCTCCCTTAAGTCTGCCTTTCTTTCCCTTCACAGCTCAACGCTGTATGCTCCACTCGGCGATCTCTCAGCCGCTGAGGGAGCTGGTGGAAAGGGGAGAGCCCGTGGAATTTTTGTTTTCGCCGGGCGACTCTGGGCTGCATCTGACGGGGCAACTCTCATCTGGCTAGGGACTGCATTGTAGCTGTGCCAGTCAAATGATGAGGGCGGTTATGGGCATATCGCCGGGACAGTTTCGAGGAATACGGAAGTCTGTTGAGCTTCGCTACTTCCTCAGGTGCCCAGGCATCGCAAACGTTAAGTTGCCGACTGCTGGGGTTACTATATTCTGCCGCGAACACCGGGCGGAGCGACACACTCCTGTGTCGGCTTCCCGAGACGGCAACAATACTCGCGCCCAGATCCAGTCTTTGCTGGGCTAGGCAACCAGTGTGGTGGTTTCCAATGGTCAGGAATATGTGGGGTTTGACTCCACTTATTTCATAGTTGCCATTACTTAACGGAATGTTCAGACCCATTCTCATCTGAGAGCTGAACAAGTTTATAGAGGTACTGTCCTTCAAGATGGAGACACCGCCGGTGATCTCATCTGCCGAGACAGGGATTGGCGACGCCAATCGACCTCGAGGTCGCGTACCTCCTTGTTCCATTGCACCCTGATTTCAAGATTTACCTTCGGTTTCTTGTTTGACGGACGTGCTACCAGTTTCGCGGTGCTCTCCTTAGGCTACATTACGGTGCCAAGGGTGTTCACCAAATTGAGGTTTATTACAGCTCAGATAGCCAGATCGCGAGTGCCGGTGTTGTCACCCTCGTACATAGGCGACTGACTCATCGCGGGTTTCAGATAACTGTTGAGTCTGGGGACCTCACGATCAGTTACTTAAACTGGGCGGAATTGTCAACCTCACGCAGTCAGATGGACAGACGCCAGGCTGCCTCCGAGGGTCCCCACCCCTGGAGACACCGCCGCTCTCAGTCCAGCCAGATACATCCCTACCGGTTAGGGGTGATGTTCTGGGTGACCTGCAGCCTCTTGAGACGAAGTCACAACCTGCACATCAATGTGCTGGAATTGACAGCAGTCAGGTTGGTGTTCGATCCCCGCACGCCGGATTCGAATTACCTCTTCGCCAGACATTCTCACTTGCACGGGCGCCACACCAATCCTCGGATTCACTGGGTGGCTTGGCCTCTGTCGGGTATAACACACGGAATTCCTGCAACCGCTGCAGACACAATTCTGCCTGGGATTTGACACCCGCTCAGTGTGTTGATAGGTGGGCGCTGGTGTGCAGATAGGGATTTCATAATCCCTATTCTGGCGGACTTAGTTCGATATTGGAGTTACTATAACCTCGCTTTTGGTTGAGAGCCTTATGACCTCCACCATTGCCGGGTACTCCATGGCTATTTCCACGCTTCACACCTCGCTCGATGGTGCTCTGCCTAGGCAGCATCCTCTCGCACATCGCGTCAGTAGCTGGCATGAACAGGGTTCGACCGCCTTCGTCGGGCGCACCCAGCCCACCTTAAAATTGCCACTTATTCACAATTGGCTGTCTGGCCCTAATTTTTTCAAGTATATCGCCTCTCTCACTTCACTTGTTGACGTGGAAGACGATTTTACTTGTTGTGGTGAACTCTGGTAGAAGGGTCGGGTACATCCATGCGATTCCCACTGACCCGACACTGACAGTATTTTATACTGATCATGTCCGTGATTCGACTCCCGGATACCTACCACTCTCAGTGCGATATTGCTTTCCACGTGACTGCTCATATCGCACTTCCACCCCTTACTCCAGCCTTTCCGCACCGGGACCAATCTTTCGATTGCTCACCCGCTCTGTCACTTAACTTAACTAACAAAAGGGATCCGACACGGGTACCCATGTGTGCTGTTTGGTGGCGGAAGACTGGGGAGTCTGCTAGCAAGCGACTTTATCTCGCTGGCTTGTTTCCGTAATTGTATGGTTACAATGATACGGTTTACCTCCCCGAGGGGTTGAAGGCAGACTGGGTAGGGCAGATGCCGCTTTGTTGACAATACACAGCCGCACTGCTCAATGAAGAGATCGGTTCTGTCGCCTTTGGAGCCAGCAGAACGCCTTCATTCGCCATTACCAACTTGACACGCATTCTAAGGATCGCGTGCTCGGTTCGGTTCTTCGGTTCTCTCCAGTGGAGAGTGACCTGCCACCCTGACCAAGCTAGTAACTGGTCATTGGTATCGGTTCTGTGTTCAATGTCGATATATTTCATATCACTACATCGTATTAGCCTTACCATCCTTTCGGGTTGGGTCGGGTTTGGGTGTACATACGCCCCTTTACGCCCCTTCAAGAGGGCGGGTCCGCTTTTGAACGCTTTAACCAGTCATATGTTATTAACCCGCCTTATGACGGAATTGGGTGCGAACCCCACGGGCACTGTTTGGTATGCCTCTCTTCGAGCCGCATGTCACGTGACCAGGTTAGTGTAATGGTGAGCCAACATATGTTCGCCACGCTTTTTTCGCTATTCAGGGATTTTTGCACGCTTACAGTTTTTCCTCTTCCGAGCCTCTCGTATTTGGGAGTCTGTGTTAATCAGCTTTGTGGGATGGTGGCCTACACTTACCCTCCTCGCCGAGAGTGTTTGGTGGGGTGTTTTCACTGCACAATGCATGGCGCTTGTACTGCTCGATTTCCTCAGAAAGTTTTAGCGAGGCTAATAATTTCTCTGGGTTTTATCGAGGTCCCGGCAAGCCCTCTTCCAAACAGGGCTGCATTCGAGCATTAGTTTGCAGTACTTATTAGCTCGACTCCTGGGTTATTGGCTTTGTAGCGTTTAAATTTTTTACGCTTCCCTACCCTTATACCTCGCCACGCATTGTCTGGCTGGGGCTATATTAGGGTTGGGAGTTGTTTCGCATGTCCCCATACATTCCTTCCATTGTAATGGTTGGGGCGGGTTTTTATGTCATTGATATTGAGCCAATTGACATATAAGCTTGGCTCTCTAGTTCCTCACCGCCTGATTGACATCAGCGTCAGGTGGCTCGGTGTTTTCTATTTCCGATCGGGTTGTAGATTTCACTCCACCACGGGTTCAGTTGTTGCCAGACAGAATGCCACCCCGCCTCAAATATCTTTGGGAGTCTGTCATATGCTTATATGTACCCCAAGGAGGACTTCTTCTGAAAAGAATTATACAAACCTGTAGAGGTTATGAATTCTTTGAAGAAAGTCCTCCTTGGGGTAAGGCCACCGCCTCCTCATTCTGTCTGACACGCTCAGCATGAAAAGTGAGGTACGAGGTAGACGGCGCAGAGTTACCTGCTCTTGGCTGTGTTGGTCCGGGTGGGGCCCTGTAGGGTGGTCTCACAAGACAAAACGAAGTTTTTGTTTTGTAAATATTTTATTAAAATATAGTTACAACTGTCGAGGATTTAAAATGGACATTTTAATGCTTATATGTACCCCAAGGAGGACTTTCTTCAAAGAATTCATAACCCTACAGGTTTGTATAAGTTTTATATGTAATACTGTTTATGTAATACTGTTGTGTTCGTGGTTCAGTTTATGTAATACTGTTGTGTTCGTGGTTTAGTTAATGTGATGCTGTTGTGTCAGTGGTTCAGTTTATGTGATGCTGTTGTGTCAGTGGTTCAGTTTATGTAATACTTTTGTGTCAGTGGTTCAGTTTATGTAATACAGTTTTGTTGGTAGTTCAGTTTATGTAATACTGTTGTGTTGGTAGTTCAGTTTATGTAATACTGTTGTGTTCGTGGTTCAGTTTATGTGATGCTGTTGTGTCAGTGGTTCAGTTTATGTAATACTGTTGTGTCAGTGGTTCAGTTTATGTAATACTGTTGTGTTGGTAGTTCAGTTTATGTGATACTTTTGTGTCAGTGGTTCAGTTTATGTAATACTTTTGTGTCAGTGGTTCAGTTTATGTAATACTTTTGTGTCAGTGGTTCAGTTTATGTAATACAGTTTTGTTGGTAGTTCAGTTTATGTAATACTGTTGTGTTCGTGGTTCAGTTTATGTGATGCTGTTGTGTCAGTGGTTCAGTTTATGTAATACTGTTGTGTTGGTAGTTCAGTTTATGTAATACTGTTGTGTTCGTGGTTCAGTTTATGTAATACTGTTGTGTTGGTGGTTTAGTTAATGTAATACTGTTGTGTCAGTGGTTCAGTTTATGTGATACTTTTGTGTCAGTGGTTCAGTTTATGTAATACTTTTGTGTCAGTGGTTCAGTTTATGTAATACTTTTGTGTCAGTGGTTCAGTTTATGTAATACAGTTTTGTTGGTAGTTCAGTTTATGTAATACTTTTGTGTTCGTGGTTCAGTTTATGTGATGCTGTTGTGTCAGTGGTTCAGTTTATGTAATACAGTTTTGTTGGTAGTTCAGTTTATGTAATACTGTTGTGTTCGTGGTTCAGTTTATGTGATGCTGTTGTGTCAGTGGTTCAGTTTATGTAATACAGTTTTGTTGGTAGTTCAGTTTATGTAATACTGTTGTGTCAGTGGTTCAGTTTATGTGATGCTGTTGTGTCAGTGGTTTAGTTAATGTGATACTGTTGTGTCAGTGGTTCAGTTAATGTAATACTGTTGTGTCAGTGGTTTAGTTAATGTGATACTGTTGTGTCAGTGGTTCAGTTTATGTAATACAGTTTTGTTGGTAGTTCAGTTTATGTAATACTGTTGTGTCAGTGGTTCAGTTTATGTGATGCTGTTGTGTCAGTGGTTTAGTTAATGTGATACTGTTGTGTCAGTGGTTTAGTTAATGTAATACTGTTGTGTCAGTGGTTTAGTTAATGTGATACTGTTGTGTCAGTGGTTTAGTTAATGTGATACTGTTGTGTCAGTGGTTTAGTTAATGTGATACTGTTGTGTCAGTGGTTTAGTTAATGTAATACTGTTGCGTCAGTGGTTTAGTTAATGTGATGCTGTTGTGTCAGTGTTTCAGTTGATGTAATACTTTTGTGTCAGTGGTTCAGTTTATGTAATACTGTTGTGTTGGTAGTTCAGTTTATGTAATACTGTTGTGTTGGTAGTTCAGTTTATGTAATACTGTTGTGTTCGTGGTTCAGTTTATGTGATGCTGTTGTGTCAGTGGTTTAGTTAATGTAATACTTTTGTGTCAGTGGTTCAGTTTATGTAATACTTTTGTGTCAGTGG